TTTATGGGAGTTGACTTTTTCAAAAATCGGGGTTTTGCATTTTTTACAATAAAACCTTTGAATGATGAAATTAGGACTCATTCCATGTTAAAGAGCTTAAAAAAACAAACAATTTAGTATTTTGGATCATCAGCGTTGGCTAGATGGTTGCGGAGAAAATGTAAAAAATTACCTTAAAATTCCTCATGCTATTCTTATGGATACGATGGCCCATGTTATTCTTATGGAGAATATATAAAATTACATATGAAGCTCATTTATTAATATACTTCGATGAAACTTGGTATTTAGCTTTATGTGGTTATAGTAAATAGATATTTGTTTGAAATACCCCAGTTGCAGCAAACCTGCATACTCAGCACAATGTAAAACCCGGCAATACATCAGCTACAGTAGTAAAATGAATATATTTTAAGTTATTGATTTGATCACTTTCTTGATAAAAATCGGTTAGACATTCACTGAGTACGTAGGTTTGCTGTTACAGGGGTACTTTTCGACTTGTTTGCTTTTTGTTCCTGACTTTTGTATCTGTTATAAAAAAGTCGTATCCGAGAAGTCAACGGTTTCCTTGGTCACAAGATGGGGGTTAAAATAAATGGACGGTGGCAGGGCCAAAGATGCAAGGCTGAATGAAGGGTTTAAGGAATCTAACCAAGACCAGTCACAAAACACACCACAACCAGTCCTCAAGTGTACAGACAGCTTTCCAAAAAGACTTCCAGTCCATGATAAAAGTGATGGAAGACTTTGGGAATCCATTTAAAGAAAATAGTCAAGATCTGTTGGTACTCGACACCAAGGAAATCACACCACCTCAAGCTGTAGCCGACCTCCATCGTGCATATATAGTGGGAAAGGCCCAGTTTGACAACTTCATCAGAGAACGCCTGGTAGGGAGAACAAAACCCATACAATATACCATTAAAAGAAGCAACCTCAAAATATTCGGTCGGTCCACCATAAAACCTCACGCAAAAGGCAAGCAACAAGTTAAATATCTCAAGAACGACGTGAACCTCTTCTCTCGTCTGTACATCGGATGCCAGAACCGGGATGGGAATCTAGATCTTCAGACATGAAAACCAAGCTTTCCCTCCTGCACTATCAGATAGGGTTAGAATCCGGTTCGGCGTGAAGAGTGATCTTCTTGCATGTCTAAAAGACTTCAGTCCGCCTAGGTCTGAGATTTCTTCATCAAGCTGCATTGTCCTAGACGGAGCAGTCATAATCCAACTGCTGAAGCCTGCTACGGCCAAGATCTTCAACAATTATGCCCAATAAGTATTTGTGCCTCACATACACTCAAAGTTTCATCACGCCACGCGACTGGACCTAGGTGGGACAGCTACATTAACAACTTGTTGAAAGGTACAGCAAGATCCAGGCGGGAAAATGGGGTAAGAAGACGAGTGGTGGGTGGTTCAACTATACCCAACAACTGGGCCAGCTTCCTCAGAGTTGAAGAAAACAAGACAGAGCTTTTCGCTTTCCTCTCTGACGTCCTCTACGACTCATTCCATCTTGCACACAAGGAGCTGTTCATCACTAAAGAAGATGATGTCATGAGAAAGTCATCGCTTGTGGATACTTCATTCTCGGATACGACTTTTTTATAACAGATACAAAAGTCAGGAACAAAAAGAAAAAAAGTCGAAAAGTACCCCTGTAACAGCAAACCTACGTACTCAGTGAATGTCTAACCGATTTTTATCAAGAAAGTGATAAAATCGATAACTTAAAATATATTCATTTTACTACTGTAGCTGATGTATTGTCAGGTTTTACATTGTGCTGAGTATGCAGGTTTGCTGCAACTGGGGTAGTTTTAAACAAATATCTATTTACTATAACCACATAAAGCTAAATACCAAGTTTCATTGAAATATATTAATAAATAAGCTTCATATGTAATTTTATATATTCTCCATAAGAATAACATGGGCCAACGTATCCATAAGAATAGCATAAGGAATTTTATGGTATTTTTTTTACATTTTCTCCGCAACCATCTAACCTACGCTGATGATCCAAAAAACTAAATTGTTTGTTTTTTTTTAGCTCTTTAACATGGAATAAGTCCTAATTTCATCATTCAAAGGTTTTATTGTAAACAATGCAAAAACCCGATTTTTGAAAAATGTCAACTCCCATAAAACTTGTGGTGCTATCGTATCTGATGGTCCGATCATTCTGATTTTTGAGTTTAAGCTTACTGATGCTATCCTACACGTTTGTGCTAAATTTTATCAAAATCGGACGTTTTTTGACAATTTTATCTTACTTCTATTGTATTTTGTCCATACAGTAGCGGCCATTTTGAAAAATGACCGCCACGGCCGCTAGGGGGCAGTTGGCCGATGGCTCCACATCTAAATTTGATCATATTACATTGGTTTACCTCTGTGCCAAATTTGGTGCTTTTATCATAAAATGCACAATAGTTTATAATATCCTAGCTAAACCGCCGTACTACAATTATTTTTTTCATTTTGGTAAGTTATGGTTGTTCATAATTTATAAGTACACCACCAAAAGGCCCTTAAACCATTAAACCCTAACAATTTGAATAGAACACAAAAAAAAAATAATTATTATTGGAGTTATTTTTTTCAGAGAATAAGGCAGTATTTCAAGACCGCTTCTTAAGATTTTAGAGATAGTTTCCAAGTTACTTTCAATTTTAAAATGTTTAAGTACGAATATTCCAATAAATAAGAGTGATTTATCTAAGCTACCGCTCACGACCAACGATTTAAAATCGTCAACAGCGATACAAAAGTTGTAGAACCCCTCATTATTTGGCCACCACGGGACCAAGCCACTGGCCGGATGACGAAGGTCCGATGACTCAAACTACTATAAAAAAGACAATTCAAACCTGATAATAACGTGTAATCAATATATGAAGTCAAAAGTCTCTTTCAAGTCTGTCCAGGAACTATTTTTAGAAAAAAAACACACGTTTAAAAAAATATATTTATAGGTTAAAGTTGTTCATAAATGAACTTAAAAAGATTATGATTCCAGACAACAAAAACTAGTAAATAAAGTTGGAGGTAAAAATGACAATAAATTGGCTTAGGATGATAAATTATTAGGACTTAAATAGTACACAAATATACTCAACTTTCTTGTCCATATCTTTCTCAGGAAATAAAACAATTATAGTAATACCAGAAACAAAAGAACCCTGGGCCGTTTCGAGCCGCGCAGGTTTGAATGGTACGCCACACCTACCGGCGCGAACCACGTGATCTTTTCGTTTCTGCGCAGGTTGTTTTGTTCTTGGTATGTCTCCCGCTATGGAAATAATCAAACAACTGTTCACAGGTTACTAGGCCTTCTAGCTCAACTGATTACTGAAGCATTAAAATGTAAACAAACAGATTGTGAGCTCAAGTTGTGAACACTAGTGCTTGCTTCTTCACGTCTGTAAGCTGTGATAAAATTTTTAAATATTGGCTTCTTGGAAGGGGCCGGATAAACCAAGGACTGGAAAACCGAGGCCGGATATCAAGGGGTTTGCTTGCTGTATACAACTATGCACTTCAAAATACACCCGGATATAACATCACTGATTATATCGTAATAATTATTTGCTCTACATATTTCTTAACGTCCCAGTGTTTCCTGAACTACCTGAACTACAAATCACAACAAAAACGTTAACAAGCGGTTGTGCGAGAAACAGAATGGCGACAAAATTAATTGGATTCATCCACATTTTATTTGTTCAATAAATAACCAAGCGATAAAATATTTTGCGCCACTAAGAGTTATGATCTATCCAGTGAGTCTACTAATCTATAGTATATTAATTGAACGGAAGTTAGTCGATGGAGGTAATTATCTTGCCAGAGAAGGAGGTCTGAAGCAACCGGACTTGCTATCCAGTGTATGTGTTTGTGTGTGTGTGTGTGTGTAGGCTAGCTACTTGTCCCCGACCGCGGTCAACTAACTAACCATATTTATTACGCACTCACACACTCACTCGTTCGTAAACCGCTTTTCGTGGCAATTTCTATGCAAATTTCTGCCGTATTTTTAACACGCAATGGATTACGCTTTAGCACTTTCTCGATTTATTTATTCCGTTTTAAAACGACCGTACGTCGCCATCATTCACATTATGAATACCACGGTCGGGACAGATTTATGCAGTTTCAGCTGACTTTAGTTATAAATCAACTGTTCATATTCCTCCACGGTCGCAATCACTTCTCTATGTGAAAGGGGATTTTCATTAAGAGGAAACGAGTATATACCTGTCATAAGAAACCTGTGAACTAATGGAACTTTCAATTACGAGAGAGTATTTAGATTTGAGTGCATTCGAAATGAACGATTACCATTTTTTCATTGTAAATAACTCAAAATTAAATTAGTTTTACCTAAAAATGGACAACGCTATGAAAAAGAATATAATTAAATATTTTGTAATGATTATGATTTCTTAAACACATTATGACTTGATCAAATTGTATACCAAGTTCATAAAGATATTTTACATAGTTCTTGAGATATAAATTAAAACAAACCAAAAACTAACTGGCGGATATCTCACTAACGTTTTTGGAAAAATGTTATTCTTGATTTTCTTTTCATTTTTACCCAATTAACTCTCTGTACTTACGGAACAATTTTTATAGTATAGTATGATGAGGTTATGTGAAACTATTTGTGGATTAGCTGTAAGATTCTTAATTTCACTTAAGTAAACGGTTTCAAACGTTTATGTTTTGTAAAAACGAAATTATTGTGATTTTAGTTGCCCTTAAAGGAACAACAACATCGTCTGGCCTCGCTCCCAGCGACCACAGAATTAAAAGAATTAAATTTTAATTCTGTGGTCGCTGCTGGCTCCCTTATCAATGGGGTCTTTGAATGACAAATACGCTTCCAAATTCCTACACTGGTAAGAGTCCTAATATTAGCTGACCGTCCCGTAGTACGAGAAGTACCGGTATTCCCTTGTCACCTGTTGATGTATGTTCCAGCACACCCTGACTGGCCACAGTGGCAAGGTGATGGCAGCCAAGTTCCTCGGGGAGTCTACCAAGGTTGTCACTGGCAGTCACGACCGAACACTCAAGATATGGGACCTGCGCAGCAAGCAGTGTAAGCACTACCACTACTTACCAGTAGTCCTAATGTGCTCTCAGTGCACAAAATAATACGCTGCGGACGTAGAATTGCAATGTTTCGGTTTGTGGTTTTAGTGTGCTTTTAGGTTTGCTTCCCTAGTGATAAGCAACTGTAATGTATTTGCAATCGGTTGGGTAGAATAAAGTGCTAGAGGATGAGAATCGTAAGTAGTTTTCACAGATTACACATTTAATGGGATATTAATGGCGGTTCAGAAAAGTATTTAAATGTTATGAAAATAACAAGATATAAGCATAGACTAACCAACACAAGTAGACTTCTCATCCCATTGTAAATTTTGAAGCTAGTTTTTCGTGTCTAGTTCATGACACTGGGCGCTAGTGTCGACAAGATTTTGTTTCTATTATTTTAGAGTTAATTTCTTGATTTGTGCTTTACTGTTTGTTTATTGACTAGGTGATGAGTTTTTTTTTTATGATTAGATCATATTATTTAGTTAAACAAGGTTTTAAATGACTGAAATAACTAAGGGAGTATGTTTTATCTATGACTAGCAGAGTACCCGTACTTCGTACGGGGTTGGCATATAAGTTTAAATTGCGTATTGCAGTTATACTCAAGCTTTGCGTTTGCAATGGGGGAGGACAAAGTTTGATAAAATTTGCTTCTTTAAATTGACGGTATACTATGGTATTACACATCTACCATAGCCATAATGTTCTACCTCTTCACCTAAACAATAAAGAAAAATAAAGTATTACAAATTTAAAAAATCACAAATTATTCATGACATTAAACACATAAACATAACTGTAAACAATCCTACTTTGACAGTTCTCATTGCGTATCGCAGTTGTTTGTTGCTGCTTAGTTCAAATTAGCTGTTTTTCATAAATGAAAAAAATATAGTGCTGCACCCTGTTGGTAAATGTTATAACTTTTTAATGCTTTTGTATATCATTTGAACCACCTTTTTTAGTTGAAACAGCTGACTAAATTCTTTAATTCCCTTTAAATATGAATACTCATAAGGTTAACATGGGAAACTACAGAGCCACTGGGGCGGAGCCCGAAGGGATTTTTGAGATAAGAATATGCCTATATGTTAATCGAGAATGTGAGCTATCATCATGCAAAATTTCAGCCCAATCCATCCAGTGGTTTATGCGTGATTGACCTTCAAACACACAAACAAACGAACAAACAAACACACAAACTTTCACATTTATATCAATATCAATCAATATTACTAATATAATATTAGTAAGATAAGATAAGATATAAGGCTGAGGTTCAGCTACCTTTTTTTGCATTATGAATTAATTATAGGAATTTTAAAATTGATAGAAACAAAAATATTATTTAATCCAGTTATCTTTTAATGTTTTATTTTACAGTTTCCATTAAATACAAACATTTTGTTTAGAAAGATACGATTAAAAATAATAAGACAAATTTATACATCTGAGAAATTAGAAAAAACTCAATTATTTATGAATTTAAATCAATATGTTGGAATTGTATGACAACCTCATCAATTTATACAGTACAATGTTTATTTTCTTTCATAATTTTTAGCAGAAGAAGCAGTCATTCCAAGTATTCCGTATTGCCTGAACTGAAGTCAACGCAACTCTACAGGCACACGTGTAGTGTTGTTGCGCGTGAACAGTTGAAGGAGCAGATGTATTTGTTCGTCAATGTTTTGTGTAATGGACGATTACGTTTTGGAATGACATTTTTGTTATAAAAAAAGTGTTTACTTAATAATTATTTTGCCGTGACGACTTTTGAGGTTGCAGGGTGCAATGTTGTTTAATGTTTTACAACTATCGTTGCACAGTATATAATCGATTCTCGTATTCACAAACTGGTTCAGTGTAAGGACCATAGATGTATAAATAAGAATTTTAACACTACAATGTTTTAAAAATTACAAAGGTTTTTTTATTTCATCCTTTATGCATGCCGGTAACGTAATATAGTTTAAATAACTATAACTCAATTTAAAATACACCGTTTTCAGGACAAATATCAGTTTTAATGGTACTCCCTAAGCTAAAACCAGAAAAACTAAACCGTATTGCACCCTTTTTCATCATTACTCTATGTTTATTTTTTTTATAAGTCAATTCTGTATCTTCGATTCTTTACTTTAGGTTGAATCTATTTACTTTTTATAGCAAAAGCTTAGTATTATTTTTTTTTTCAGGCTTATTTGATGGTGTCGGTGATCTCAACTCTGAGCTGCATGTAAATGTTCGAATAAAACATCCCAAACACTACTTGCCCTTGGGATGATTTTTTTCATTTGTTAAGTATTCACAGTTTAGAGATTTTATTACGACCTTATGAAAGCAATATGTCTAATCGCTTGTGTAAAACAAATGTTCAGATTTCTGATTCATTGTTTGTGTGCGACAGGTACCCAGACCAACTTTGTGGGCTCGAGCTGCAATGACCTGGTGACCTCTGATGGCGCTGGCACAACCATCATCAGTGGACACTTTGACAAGAGCATCAGGTTCTGGGACATGCGCTCTGAAAACTCGGTTAACAAGATCGAGGTCAACGGAAAAGTTACTTCTCTCGATCTCTCAAGAGGTATTTATGTAAATCTCTTATCCTTATAACTGTGTGTTAAATTAAAATTTGTGAGTTGTTTAGCCTCCGGATAACTTTGGTTTACAATACCTGCACATGTTAATCTTCGGTTGCAACTAGTTGGTAGCACATAATAGTGGCAACTAGTTCAGCGTCGGGCCTACAAGGAGTCAAAGTCGTCAATACAATTCTCCCTCACTACCCACTCAGTGTTCTGAAAATATATACAAACCTATTCAGCCTTACTTTTTGATATTTTATAGTGTTTAGTTAGAGCTCTGTTGCTAGTTTAGTAACCTAAAACAGGGTGGCAATTAAGTCTTAGGACCACTTTATAACTTTAAAACGGAAAGAGATATCACAACCAAATTTGGCATATATTACTGGTAATATTAAGCTACTTTTTGTTTACATGGTGATTGGATGTCACCTATGGGGAATGGCCCATGGTTTAAAATCTTAAGGGTATGCCTAGGTTGATATGTAAATTAATTCTTGTCTAAAAACAATGCCGCAAACCGGACCTCAAACCGTATTTTCAACTTACTCCTTATGGGCCATCCCGTAGGTGACATCCGATCACCATGTACCCAAAAAAGTAGCTTACTATTACCAGTAATGAAATGCCAAATTTTGTTGTGATATCTCTTTTTTTGTTATAAAGCCGTCCGAAGACGTAATTGCCACACTGTATATTTGCCTTGAAACAGTGGTGTGGCTGTTACTAGTTTTATATTCTGCTCCGTGTACAATAATATGCTGCAATGTTCACAGACTCCAAGTACTTGTTGAGCTGTGTCCGAGATGACACTTTGCGAGTGTTGGACCTCAGGATGAATCAGATCGTTGGCACGTTCAGGTAACTTCATTATACAACACAAGACGCACTACAATAATGTTGACAAATACTGATTCTTTTGTGGGAAAATTTTATATTTTTTCACTAGTAACAAGAGTGCCGTTATAAGGGTGCGCTCATGGTTTATGTGTGAGGCACTGATCACAGAAACACCAAATTTGAAGGGTGAGATGAAGCTTCTAGGGTGGCAAGCAAGTTGCATGTGTGAGGGCTAACGGAGAAGAGTTGGACATACACTTTTGTTACAGTGCAAGCTAAGGAGGATACTTTACACTACAAAGAAAAAAAATCATTATGTTTATTTTTGTTTACATTTAAGTTGTAGATTAAAACCTCTTGTGATTAATGGTACAAAAATTGAATAAAATAATCAAAATCCATTAGAGCACTAGTGAACTAATGGAAAGCTATTTAAAGGCGAGATAGGTGAACTGAAAACCATAGAATTTGATTTTTAAAAATCAAACTACGTTTTATGCTATGGCTGAAAAATGTTCAATATACTATGTTTGTTTAGCCACGATGGGTTCAAAGTTGGTTGCGATTGGGCGAGGGCAGTGTTCAGCTCGGAGGGACAGTATGTAGCCGTGGGTTCTGCTGATGGCTCAGTCTTCATCTGGGAGGTCGCTACACAGAAGGTCGAACAAATACTGAGAGACTGCCACTCGTAAGTATTTGAACAAATACGAGGTTAGAGACTGTCACTCTTAAGTATTAGAGTGAACAAATATTATGGACCTTTTATTTGTATCAGACTATGCACATGGTTAAACTATTCTCAGTTGCATCATAGAGTATTACCTCCGTTCTAACCTCCTCATTTACGACACTGCAGAAGGCCCACCAATGATGAGTGACACTTCCGGTGCTACTCAAGGTTCCATACTTGGCCCAGACCTATGGAACATCACCTACCTCCTGATGTCCCTGAGATACCCGAGGAAACCGTTTTAGTTGTGTATGCCAATGACATTGCAGCTTTGACAGTTGCGCGTCAGTCGCACTATCAGTCACAACGAATCAGTCATGTGTACAATCAGCATGCAGAGTAAATCATGGTCCCTCGCTTCCTCTTAGTAAAACCGATATCATAATTCTGAAAAAGAAGCAGACCATCGTGCCTTTACCACCAAGAAGTCCCTTAAATCATAGTGGACAGTAAGCTCAGATCTTCTATACGGCATGGACAAGACCGCCATGATGGTAAATGGTCAATGTCAGATGTCCTTGTTTCAGTTGAAGAAGCATGTTATGTCTGTGGTATAGTACGTACTCGTGTACAGTGTGGTTGTGATGCCACACAGAAGGTATACAGGATGCGGCTCGTGTGTGCAACGTCACGCAGCACTCAGGGCAGCATCTTCTTAACGAAGATTGTTTAAACCCGCCATCCTGGTAGTATATTGGAGACATCCCTGTCAAACTTTTGGTAGTGGAGAGGAAGGAAATTTATCAGTTTCGTAGGGTAGATCAGACTTGAACAGAGGAGCACACCCGCACCTACTGGTTGTGGCAGGCTAGCTGGATTCAGGACACGGGGCGCTGGACCAGGCTATTAGTTCAGGAAATCCGACCTTGGTTCAATCGGCGGTACAGAGAACCACACCTAATAGACAGCTCACAGCTGTTTCCAGCCATCCTTGTTCAGGGTAGGCAAGGCGGTGTCACCTGATTACATCTACTGCCTGGGTGCTCCCCACGATATGGAACATACTTTCTCGGCTGCTCCGTGTTGAGAAAGGCCCCGCCTGTAGGCTCAACACTATGCAATACTGCTGTCAGTGGACACAGTCATTCCGTTGATGATGGAAGGTTGATAATTGGACATGTGTATGAAACCGTTTTTTCAGGGTTTCCCCACGCCAAGAAGCTCAACCTAGACTGTGTTGCAATCTCGATCATAAAAGAGGAGAATGCTAATGCCACAAATAGTGCCCTGGAAACTTTAGATCATATGGTTACCTGAACTGAAGAAATGTGAAAAATAATCCCGGGTTTGTGTTCAACAGAGTAGAGGGGGTTTTTGGTCGCCTGGTCAATTCAGGAGTCTCACACTACAGACTGGCCACCTAAGTGTGTAAAAGCCTTTTCTTCCTCGCTAAAAAATAAACACACTTGGAAACTATGTCTATTACATGTTCTTACCTATTAAATGTACAATTAAGAATTTCAACTTTCTTGGAAGGTCAGATTATATATAACACAAGCACCTTGTAAAATGTAATGAGCTGGCTACAACACAAGCAGGTCCTAAACTGTATGATTTTCACTCATCAGAAAAGCGAGCTCTGCAAGTACAGTAGACTATTTAAGAAAATTAAGAATTCTAATGTTAAAGAAACACTTTTCTTGTAACTAATTAAGCAGTTTCTTAGCATATTTCTGGTTTGCAGGAGTCCAGTAACCGCAGTCGCCTGGCATCCTTATGGAAACTCCCTGGCCAGTGTGGACAGGTCAAGACGAGCAGTAGTGTGGTCGGACTAGAGGAACAGCTGATCGTCAACTAGTAAAGATGACAAATCAAATCAGCTGTTCAATCATAATTACAGCTGACAAACCGGGGACTGGTTTGTCTTATCATTCTATTGTTTCGTACTGGTAAGCTGAAGGAGAAAATATTTAAAAACTGTTGAGAAATGTGTTGCAACATTGTTACTGTATGTTTTACACGCAGACATTACACTTCATGCGAGAGGTTTCACTGAGCACTTCACAGATTTTAATAATTATCTTAATTTATTTTCATCCTTAAAACTGATGATGTGGACCACATGGTTGTTAAATAGCTTATGGAAGTTTCACATTTAGATCTGTATTGTTCAGTAACAATATGTTTTTGTTTAGCTTTTGACTGTTGAAGGAAATATTTGTGTGACAGCAATATGAGTTGAAACTCAGTAATTTTTAATATTAGGTCTTTAAAGTTTACATATTTTAATTTCAGATGAAACACTAGTGTGTGTCATAACATAAGAACATCTTGAAAGTCTAATGAACTAGTGTGCAAAATAATTACCTCCATCACAGTCAACAAAAAAGCCGTCTTCAAAGCATAATTAGGTTTTATCATAGATAAATCATCTCCCTCAGTAGATTTCTCATACTTATGGAACAGCTGAGGTCGCGGTTTGCTTACATTTTCTTTCTTGTTATTTCAGTAATTTAAAATCTTGTTTAACCAAATAATATGATCTAATCAAAAACAATAACTCATCCCCTAGTTATATAATCAAACAGTAAATCACAAATCAAGGAACTAACTCTTACATAATAGACACAAAATTTTGTCGACACTAGCGCCCAGTGTCACCGTACATGAACTAGACATGATAAACAAGCTTCAAAATTTACAATGGGATGAAAAGTTTACTTGTGTTGGTTAGTCTATGGTTTTATGCCCTTGTCTGATTGCTGCTGATGACTATAGGGAAAATAAAACTATATAGATTTAGAACACAACTCCACAACTTCAAAAATATTTTTAACTTCATCGTTTTTACTAAATGAAGGGTCAAAAATTACATAGCATTTATCATCACCTCAGTTATAAATGTTATCCCATTGAATTATTTCTGATATATAATCCACTTCTAAACACTTGTCCAAATTAAAACACTGATACTGTGATATCACCTAGCGTAGGACTAGTAGGGAAAGATAATTTAAGTCTCAGTACTTTCTCATAAAACTTTGTAACTTAGTAGAATCATCACCTTACATTGCATATATTACTTACTATTTAGCTTCCTGAAACCTTCAGAACCTTCCAAAACTTTGAAACTAATTAACAACTCTTCTTTTTATCTGTATTCCATAAATCTGTTTTTGTAAGAAGTTAATTTATCTTTCATGGTTGATTACTTTAAATTGCTTTCGCATGTACAAATAGTGAGATTAACTCATACATCTGACAAAAAGGTTTTTTGATAAAAAATACAATCAAAAATTCTGTTGTATGACTATTCAATTGTGATGAATTTTATTTTTAAATGTCATAAAAAGTAAATGATAAAATACTGTGGTTTCTTGCTGAATTTTACTCTGTTGATAGAAGGATAGAAATAATGTTAACATAGCATCTGCAAATAAAATTCCACGATTCACTTTAAAGGTGCCTTATAAAAAATAAGGTAAATAACCCTTTATATTTCAAAAAGTATTAGTTAAAAGCAGAAATAAATAGTTTAAATACTTAGCTAGGGAGAGTAGTAAGGACAATATGATTAAAAAAATAGTCCATTTGAAATTGGTATTTGTTTTGTTTTGTATTAAAATATCAAATTGTTATTAAAAAAAGCTCAACTGATCCAAGTAACTTAGGTAGTAATTTTGTAACTATGAATACGTTCTAACTCTTCTTTAAGATATCTAAAGGATATATGATTGATATGTTTCATTCACTCTTGACCTTATTATGGTATACAATATACTTGTAAAATTACGTAAATAGATGTAATTTTTTTTTTTGTAAATAGATGTGAATTGAACAAGAAAAATTATGTATTTCCTAATTTTTTTTCTGCAGAAGTTAGTATAAAAGTATTCACGGGTCACAATATTTTATGAACTGTTATGAGTCAAACTAGTTTTTGGAATAGTTTTTTAAGGTAGTGTACTGTTCGTAAGAAGTGTAATATTGGTAAATTAAAATACTCTAACTACTCACATTTAATAAAATCACATTAGATGTAGATAATACTTTACAAAAAGACAAATTTATACAGTATGTTGTTAATTTGTGTCTGCGGTTTAAATAAAGAAACAGGAGCTATATTTTTAAGCCATGTACTATTAAAAAATTGTTAATAAAACAGACCAAAAATATGTAAATGCCTTGTATAAGTATGTTTTTATCAAGTAAGATTTAGTTTACTAATTAAAATAGGCCTACAAATTATTATTAATCACAAAATTTAAAATAATTTTATTTAATGACAACATTTTTTAGTTTCACTGTAAAAATAAATCAATACTAATTATTGTTGTTTCACTAAGCTTTCACAGAAAAAAATATTGATACAAAAAATCTTACTGAAAAATAGCACAATAACAACTATTGTGAAGTTTTTAATGTTTGGATTAATAATTATTGTAATACAATTTACTTTTATATGTTAGGATAGTATAGGCAGAATTATACAGTAAGCTCTAGCTTTAATATGTTTTATACAAAATTTACTATTTTTATAAAGCAAAATATACATTACCATTGTTAATATAGTTTGATTAAAGCTTTTCTCATAACTCATACTTGTTGGTACTGATTGAAATGGGTTGTGGAATCATTATAGTTTCATGTTGTTTAAATAATCTTCTTAACATATCCTAAACGTTTTTAAAAGCATCTATGGGTGGTAATAAAGTGACTTACAGAATATAGTTTATGTGAACAATATTTTTAGAATTTCTAAACACCCTTGTAATGCATTTTTAAAGTTTTTTTTTTCAGATATATCACTAAGGTGGTTTTGACAGTTATGCCGTCTTAATCTCAAAAGAAGAACCTAATTATTTCCACATAAAAAATAAGTCATTTATCAGTATTGTTATTCAGTTTTAGTTGAAGTTCATGTTTTAGGTGTAAACAAATCAAATTGAATCAAACTACTATAGAACAGGTGACATTGTCAAATTATTTTTGTGTTGTACATTAATCTTTTACCATAATACCCTAACGATTTTCCTTTTTTCTATAAATTTTATCCTTTTAAGAACGACGTTTTTAGAATTGTTACTAACTAAGGTTAATAAGTAATACATTTGGTATTAAATCCCACACAATTTAAAGCTCGACATATTTACATTTGAATTTGAATCTATTTAATTCCATGTTGATGGCCCCTGGATTACTATGAATGACTATAATATTGTGGTATAATTACCTCGTCAAGTAATCCAAATGATGTGTTAGGCTAAAAACCTACATGTTTCGCCGTTAATACGGCATCGTCAGGGTACAAACACAGTAAGACATTGCTGTATTTATTTATTGTATGCGTGTGACAGCAATGTCTTACTGTGTTTGTACCCTGACGATGCCGTATTAACGGCGAAACATGTAGGTTTTTAGCCTAACACATCATTTGGATTACTTGACGAGGTAATTATACCACAATATTATAGTGAATCTATTTATTGCCATTTGTAAACATTATATTGAAATACACAACGTCAAAGATCACAAGAATTACAGTAATATGCCGCATAAAAGGAAAGTGTAAAATTTTCTTGTCAGACTAATACATAGCCTATAACAGAATAAAACATAAGAAAACATTTAGCAAAAAACAATATTTAAAGGTCAGTAATTTATGGTAACCTTTTTTATGACCTCTTATGTTAGTAATATCACTCAATATTTTTGACATTGCTAATGTTTTGTATTAAATTTGTTTTTTTCTTATTTAAATGTGACCAATATGCTTTTGTGTTAAATACGTATGTGTTTCGTAGACACACATGATTTCTCAACCCATTTTTTAAAAATATATGAGCTCGCAAAGTGCTATATCGTACAAAATGTGTATGAGAACTTGTTATAAACTTGTAGTAGAGTGTTTACTAATTTAATATTACCTACCGATCTATTTTATAATACTCAAAGACTAATATTCCACTGCTGTGTATATAATAGTGCTTATTTAAAACTCTCAATTTTGGGAGTAAGAAAAGAGTTCCATTAGATTTGAATAAATGTTTTTGTTACTTGAGTGGTGTTAATGATGTAATATGTTGTAAATAAATTTGTTTTATATAACTGAAATGGTAAAACATTGTTCCCAAATCCAAAATTCACATGCTAATGGACCCCCTCTAATTCGGATATTTTTAACTGGATGTCTGTCTAACCGCACAGGATCGGCAGGAAGTGGGTGTTACTGGGACTTTTCTTGTGGGAAATATTTAAGACCATTAATAACTTGTCTAAATACAATTGTCTCCCAAATTTAACCCTTTGCGGTCGAATGGCGAGTATAGGTTGCTGCGCGCCATTTTCTCAACTCCTCGAATGGTGATATATCAATCTATACCACATACTCACCAAATAAAGAAAGAAAAATTCCAACACAAAGGTTTAAGACAAATATTTGGGTTAGATTTAGAGGGATTCAGGAGCTATACAGGAGGGATTAAAATGCTTTAAATTGTCAGAATAACATTAATGTATTAACAACAATTTGGAGGTTAAAAAAGTAATTCTTTAAATTTGTGATGTATTTCTTACAGTCGGTAGTATTTTATATTTTATTATATTCTAATGATTAAAACAAAATGTAAATCTTTAATTCATAAAAACATGTTACAAACCATTTTCAGTGAAACTGAGATTCAATCACTTTTGTGTCAACAGCAACTCATACCTGAAGGGCTTACAAAAGAGAAGAGACAGTTCAATAGTCATGATAGAGGCACGCTTTGGGGCAACAAATGTCAATTTTCTCAATCCTCTTCCTCTCCTGATAGAAGATAAACTGCCTTTATTATGTTTTCCAGTTTGTAATATGACTAGAGTCTTTCTTTACAAAGTTCCTTCTGAAGTAAAAACAACTTATAGTATTTTTGTATTCTGAATAACTCATACTATTGGCTTCTGTGGGAACTAGTTTTGGTTCAAATTGGAACCATCATCTGACATCACAAGGAAGGCAACATATCTATATATCTAATTCCGTAAGCCCAAAATTTTACAATGAAATTGTGAGCGAACGGGAGGCTGTAGAAAGCTGGGAGAGGCCTCATTTTAAAGCTCTGGGCATGAAATTTTGGGGAAAAATATTCATTTTTCTTAATTATGCACCAAAAGGTTGTTACGGAATAAAATAATTCACATTTAAATAGCATGGAAATCTAGGTCATGTCTGCTTTGTTTACTTTAAAACATGTGGTTTAACTTTATTTAAAGCATATGGTGATATGTAATAGTCAAAGGTCTTTGACTATTAATACAACAACTAGACATTCCATCTCCATGTTAAAGTTGTAGCCAGGTTTTTAATAAAATTTGTTAGTTGATGTGAGCCCCCTACAGATTGCGCTGATCTAAATTACTGATGTCTGCCAATTACACGATGGTTTTTACCAAGTCAAACTGATGGAATGACTTATTATGTGCTATAGCAACTGTTGTGACCCAGCAACGATGTCAGTAGCCAGCAATAGTCAATGGTAATATGTACTGTAATATGTATACTACATATTATAAAGCTGAAATAGACTTTTCCTTATTTTAAGGGTCTGGATTATAGTTAATGGAGTATGATTGGTTGTGTTAGGTGTGTCTGAAAAAAGTGTTAACCTAGAAGTAATTGCTGGAGTAGGCAAATGGAACATATTATCATGCCAAAATAAAACTAATATCTACAGATCCTAATATGCCGTTTATAAGGATTCAATTCCTATTGCGATTAGCTTTCGCTATTCCTATAATTTAAGCGCGAGGCCCGCATACCTTCACGAAAGTCGGCATCTATTTGAAAAAATAACCCATGGACAACTTTATGTTGCTTTTAGCCAGGTTAAGCGGCCAGATGATGTTAAAATAGTACTAGAACCAAATAAAGACCAAGGAATCGACCAAGATTAATAGGCCTACTATACAACAAATGTTATTTTCAGAGAGATTTTGTTATAGAATTAGCATTTTACAATTTGGAGGATGACATTATCTATATGTGTTTTATCGAAGTGAATTTGTCTACATTCAAAGAAATATATATATTTAATTAATATTCATGAAGATTATCATTGAAAATGTTCCTTGGTGGTATTATAATTAGAAAGTTCATATTGTAAACACACTGCATGAACAGTCCTTTTGAATTTTTTTTTTTTAAACAGAGCAGACATCAAAATGCATTATGCAGGGTATGTAATAAATATTATATTAAACACAAATTTTTAACGATAATTCAAGGTAGGGTAACCCATGAGACTAATAATTTGTACAAAATAATTACTAGAATATAGACCTATAGGGGCTATTGCCCCTACAAGCCACTAGTCTTCTTCTAAAGACACAAAATTTCACACACATTCAAAAATGAACACTCAACATGCTTAACTAGAATAATTTGCAACATGACCAGCAGGAAGAAATTTGACAGCACCAATATGAGCTTAAGTGGCCACCGTAACCAATGGGTTACCAATAATATTGGTAAGCCTCTTAGGTTTCCAAAAAAATTAGTTTTGGTATGAGTGATAAGGTATAATTAACTAGCCAGAAGTTGCCATCAGTTGAGTCCTGTGAGGCTGGTATCATTAATACTCAACTTTGTCCATTAGGACTAATCTACTCAGCAAACACCTTCTCCTATTGATCTTTCTCTTTGTATGTTAACAGGTTGAGTTATAATACAATGTATGGGTCTTAATCATTTGTTTATTGACTAGAAAGGAGAAATAGTTTTGAAATTATGTAAATCATCTACTTAACAGTCTATGCCACTAGCAAGAGTAGGTGGCTGCGAGCATGATACATCTCCAACCCACCCCCCTAGGATTCCTTAACGTTTAAGTGCTATTCAAAAACTCAAACAACCAATTTCGGCTTAGATAAGCTTTCCTTAGGGTATGACCTACAACTAAAAAAATCTGTGAGTTTTATTGTTCAAAACAACATTTTATGTCATTCAATCGAGGAAAGTTAATAAATTTGTTTGCGGACACATGTTGCCAATAATGTACTTTTGGATTAATTCGTAATCATTTCAGTCACGTGGTCGATTTATCCAATCAGTGAAAGCAAATCGTGCTGGATTACTGTCCCAATAACGTAGGCAATTCTGGCCCAAACCCGCTCACATGTACACCACGTGTATGTGGGTTTTACGTAATTACGACACTAAATTCATCTATCAGGAGGATTCGTATAATATGTACTTTTTTGCATTACCCTATGTATTTATCATTTTATAAGTTTTTATCGCCAGTAAAACAAACTATACTTTCTTGAATTAATATACAAAGTGAGTTTTCCTGACAGAGTTTTAGGGTATAAAATTCCTTTAAAAAATTAAAAGAAGTTTTTTAAGTATAACCTTTGACTAATAATCCAATAGTCAATGGTATAATGGTGTGGGGGGATCTGCTTGACTTAACATAAAAATGTTACCAGTCACCAACCTTAAAATGGTTGTAACAAAAAAATATGCCAATGCATTCCATTCTAAATTGGTGGTTTAGTGGCTCAAAGCAACCTCAAAAATCAAAATGGATTATCATCATACTTGAGACGAACTGTGTCTGCTTTGAAGATCTTTTACGGAAATTCTTTTGATGACCTCTTTAATTGATGAGGATTCTTATCCTCTTTGAACTTGTGTCTTTTAGATTGTTTCTCTTGTATAAATTGTTTTCCCATGAATCAATCAACCAATATATTGATTAAGGTATCCCATTATTACCTTATTACCACATTAATTATAACAGAGATTAAATAATGTAATATGAATTGTTAATAATACTTGTCCTCTTTCAGCTGGATATTGTATTGAAATAGAAATGTACCACACATCTTTACTTACTCAATCAACAGATACATCTCACAGTACAAGCTTGGCGTCCCCATCTCAATGGATAACGATAAATTTTGTCTACATTTTTTCAAACTAGCTTTAAAACTAGGAAACCTATGAAGAGTATTCCTCTCTTTGAAAAACTCTTCTTTCACCAGGTTGAACAAAATGTCCTTTTATTTCTTAAAGGTATCATCATCGAACATATTTTCTTTTCTCACAAAGACGTGTTTGATGAGTCTCCCTTGAACAAACTTCATAGCTAATTTTATTTAATTAAAGTCCTCAACTTCATTACTATCGGCTTTTAGTGTCAATAGAGTCAGACTGTCTACCGTCCGTTTCCGCTTTATAGAGCCAAGCTCCTTTGACTCAAACAAGTGAAAAGGATGATGAAGTTTGCAATCAGACAAATTAAGTTTCAACAAAAAGTGTTTTTAAACAGTGAGCTTTTTTACCCAAAGGGTTTTAAGTTTTTTTTTCATAGTTTGAATACTCAATTACCAAATATTTCACACAACCATCAGTAAGTTATGGTGATTATTGGTATTATAAACCTTATACACTCTTTTCATTGTTATTGTAGGTATTTATTTTTTATTGAAACTAATCAGTGTACCACCTTTGTACGATAATAGAAAATGTGAATAGCGAATATGGAAAAAAAATACCAAATAACTGTTTTTATAAAACAAATATTTCCACAACAGGATTTATTTATTTATTTATTGTGGTCTACAGGATTTATTTTGTTTTACAATTATCGTATAAATGTATTATTTTGATACAGTGACATATTTGATAAAGGTTAATGGTAAAAAGGATACCATTAAATTATTTGTACGTTAAACGTAATGTTTTAAACTTACTTTTAAGTTCATTTAAGATATTCAAGTTAGAAAACAGTAATGTCTTGTATCTTGTCATAAATAACCCTACAAATTGTGTTAGTTTTTAAAGTCAAAATTTACCAAACTGATACAAAATACCTTGATTGTGTGACATGTGACATTTATTCTGTCTTAAATCAGATGATGTAATATTTATCATTATTATTGTTTGTTGTGTTTATGTTAGTTTTGGAGTTTTTATGGTGAGTTCTATTAAAAACCAGTGTTCAGTACCAATAAATAAATATAATTTATGAAGCTTTATCATTGGTGGCAGCGGTAAAGGTAATATACAAACTTAAATAGAATAATGGACCTTTTAAAACCTCCGTCAGCTATTGATTTAAATAGCAACACATTAAATGAATGGACTAAGTTCAAGCAAAAATTTCTGTTGTACCTGGAAGCAACTGAAAAATCTAAAAAGTCGGGGAAAATCAAAGTTGCTTTACTGCTATGTTTAATGGGGGATGGTTGCCTAGACATTTTCAACACCTTTGAATTGGATGATGGGGAAAAAGACAATTTAGACACTGTAATTAAATGTTTTGACGAATACTTTGAGCCTAAAGTAAACACTGTTATTAATAGGTATACTTTCTTTAACCTCAGGCAAAAGTCTGACGAATCAGTTCAGTCATTTGTAACTAGTCTAAAAAATCGGGCAAAAAAATGTCAGTTCGGGGATCAGGAAGAAAGCCTTGTAAGAGATCTATTGATAATAGGGACTAAAGATGAAGCGTGTAAAGAAAGGTTGTTGATGACGAGTGATTTGAAACTTGATAAAGCAATTCACTACTGCACGGCTAGGGAGGAGAGTAAAAAACAAGTGCAACTAATGAAACTTGATTCACAACTTGACGAAACAACTAATGTAGGATCTAAAATTCATAACATTACTTTACCAAATTCGAGTAACATTACAAATAAAAGACAAGTTAAAGTCTGCTCTAAATGTTTAAAAACTCACAATTACAGAAATTGTCCTGCTTGGGGAAAGAAATGTATAAAATGCAAGAAATTTAATCACTTTGCAAACGCCTGTAAGGCCCAAAACATTCATAACATTGAATCTAATGAGGACATTGAACCTAATGAAGTGGGAATTAGTGGCGAGAGTCAGGACTTAAGTATTGAAACTATTGTTGTCAACACTGTAGACTCAAAACATAGTTGGTGTCAGAATATTACCGTAAATGGGGTTGACATATCTTTTAAGCTCGATACTGGCGCCGACGTCAATGTTATTCCTTACAAGCTTTATCAACAAATAGCTCCTGACGCTAACATGACGACTCCAGGTAAACGCCTCAAGTCTTATAGTGGGCATGACATCAAAGTTGTAGGTACTTGCCTTCTAAATTGTACACTGGGGGGTTCTAAAAGAAATTTTTTAGCAGAATTCTACATTGTGAATGAAGATGCCTGTCCCATATTAGGGCTTAAAACATGCCAAGAACTGAATCTCATTTCTAGAGTAAATGAAATAACTAAACCAAGTGAAAGTGTGTACGATAGGTTTTATGATGTATTTGGTGATGAGCTAGGAAAATTACCATTCGTTTATGATATAAAACTTGAAGATACCGCAGTTCCTAAAGTTATTCCTGCCAGAGCTATCCCTAAAGCTTTAAATGATACAGTTAGGGAAGAGATCAATAAAATGGTCAAAGACGGTATTTTAAGAGAGGTAAGCGAACCTACTGATTGGGTACATCCGATTGTAATAGCAAAGAAGCCAAATGGTAAAGTTAGAATTTGTATTGATCCAAGAACTCTTAATAAATATATAAAAAGGGAACACTACAAAATGGCGACGCTCCAAGAAATTTTTTCACAGTTGGATGGTGCAAGATACTTCAGTGTACTGGATGCTTCTTCAGCATTTCTACAGATACCGTTATCAGAGAATAGTTCTCGGTTATGCACCATTGCTACTCCTTTTGGCCGATTTAGTTATTGTAGACTACCTTTCGGATTGAATAGTTCCCCAGAGATTTTCCAAAAAGCAATGGACCATGTAACCTGTGGATTGGAGGGAGTGAGTGCATACATAGATGACGTCCTAGTGTTTGGTAACTCAAAAGAAGAACATGATGAAAGACTGGCTGCTTTCTTAGAAAAGGCAAGATATTTTGGACTTAAGCTGTCTAAAGAAAAAAGCCAGATTGGCCGTGAAAGTGTCCAATATCTAGGTCACAAACTTACTCCACAAGGTATTTCAATAACCGAATGCAAACTGAAGGCTATTCAGGACTACCCGAGCCCTAGGGATAAAAATGACCTCCAAAGATTTTTGGGAATGATTACATATGTAGGAAGGTTCATTGATAATCTATCTGATAAAACAGGGCCACTACGATTACTGATGAGCAAAAACAAGTCTTTTATATGGACAAGTATAGAACAAAAATGTTTTGAAGCATTAAAGGAGGAGATAACAAAGGTTCCTGTTTTGGCCTATTTTGATGGAAGAAAGAAGTCTACTTTATCTGTAGATGCTAGCAAATTTGGCCTCGGGGCCGTTGTTTTTCAAAATGACCATCCTATCGGCTACAGCTCTTCAGCTTTAACAGCAACTCAGCAAAGGTACAGCCAGATTGAAAAAGAGCTTCTGGCAGTAGTAAATGGTTGTAAAAAGTTCCACTATTACCTATATGGAACAGACTTCACAATAGAGACAGATCACAAACCTCTACTTGGTCTTTTAAACAAACCTATAGCAAGTCTATCACCACGGCTTCAGAGAATGATGATGGAACTGATGAGATACAATTTTAAATTAGTTCACGTACCGGGGAAAAAAATGTTCATTGCAGACTCCCTGTCGAGAGCTCCAATAGATGAACATTTAAACACAAGTTATCTGGACAACGGAGCTGAGGTAGTTTACTCCCTGGCAGTTTTTGCTAATGACGATGTAGTAAATAGACATAAATATGCTACAGAAAGGGATGCCGCACTAAAGCAAGTACGTTTTTACATAGAACATGGATGGCCTGAACACAAACAAAATTGTGATGACAAAGCTCACCCTTTTTGGGAAAAAAGGTATCAATTACATTTATACGATGATCTGATATATATGGAAGACCGACTTGTTATTCCGAGTGAGCTGCGACCCGACATGCTGAGGCAACTACACGCTTCACACCAAGGAATTAATTCGTGCCAAAACAGAGCACAGATGGCTTGGTACTGGCCAGGAATGATGAGAGACATAAAAAACACAGTAGACCAATGTACAACATGCCAGGAATACCAAAGATCAAACCCAAAAGAACCTCTTAAACCATATCCAGTGCCAGAAATCCCATGGGAAGAAATTGGAGTTGATTTCTTCAAAATTAACAATACCAATCACATGCTAGTGATTGACTATCATTCCAAATTTGTGGAAGTAAAGAAGATGAGTACAACAACAGCTGATTCAGTTACTGCAGGATTGACACAGATATTTAGATCTCATGGCCTGCCTAAGAAATTACACTCCGATAATGGCCCTCCGTTCGATAGCCACAAGTTTTCCACGTTCACAGAAAGGTATAAAATTGAGCATATAACTTCGTCTCCGTACTACCCAAAATCTAACGGGATGGTGGAGAGGGCTGTACAAACTTTAAAGTCAATGCTGTCTAAAACGCTAAAGACCAAGGGAGATCCAAACCTGGCCATAATCGATTACAATAATACTCCTAAAGCTAATCTCAGAGCACCTGCTCAAATGCTAATGGGAAGACTACTAATGACTGTTCTTCCTGCTACTAAAGATTCCATGAAACCACTCTTCCCTACCAATGAAACAGTTCTAAATTTGAAGCAAGCCCAAGAAAAACAAAAAACATATTATGACAGATCGGCTCATCTACTTCCAGAATTAAAGGAGGGCGAAGAAGTTTATGTCCAAAAGGGAACTCGAGAATGGGCAAAAGGAAAAGTTGTCAAGAAACACAAAAGCCCGAATTCCTATTTTGTACAAATGGACAGCGGAGCAGTTTTCAGAAGAAACCGGTGCCAACTGAGACAATTTAAAATGGAAAAGAAAAAAGATTGAAATTGAAAAAAAAGGACATGTGACATGTGACATTTATTCTGTCTTAAATCAGATGATGTAATATTTATTATTATTATTGTTTGTTGTGTTTATGTTAGTTTTGGAGTTTTTATGGTGAGTTCTATTAAAAACCAGTGTTCAGTACCAATAAATAAATATAATTTATGAAGCTTTATCATTGATTGGAGGAAGACATAGTTGTTCAAAACATGGGAATGAAATGACTGTCAAAGATGTTCTGCTCTACTGATGATCAGCAAACTGGATTGGATATGTCTAGTCACATACTAATTAGCAATTAGCTGCAGATTAAGATGAACCTTTCGCCTTTATGTGTACTCTTATGCCCAATTCACACAGAACGGACGTCAGGCGGGGACGTGGCATGGACGAAGCACAGTTGTGGCAGAGACGTGGGGTGTACAATGCACACAGAAGGGACGGTACAGTGGCGAGAAAACTTGTATATAGACTAGAAGCTATGGTTTTCTCTTATTTCTGTTAGTTGTTTATGTCAACTAAATTAGTTATTTCTGTTGACTGTGTCGATTAGTTAGTTTGTACGACTGTGATCGTACAAACAAGGGCATTTTTATACTTCCACACAAAATCTGTGATTGAATTTAATGTTGTCTCAGATTGTGAAAAGAACAAAATACAACTCGCAATTACTCTAAACACAAAACAACAAAAAAGGTTGGTAAGTACAATATTTGCAGTCCGAACAACGGGTGCGCTACGGACATGCCACTTCCGATACGCCACGCGACGTGGCGGTGGCGGGATGGCCGCGTCACATCACATTTGTGTTCATTGACCAATTTGTTTACATGGAGAGGCAAGGAAGAAAGATATGCCCTTGCCTCGTCCGTGCCACGTCTCCGCCCGACGTCCGTTCTGTGTGAATTGGGCAGAATTAATCAGAAATAATCTTTTATAGATTTTTTATGCCATTATATATTAGAAATAAAAAATACCTACTTTGAAATGTGAAAAAAAAATTGTATTGAAGTTTCAGGGTTTATAAGACGACTCCTTGGATCTCATAAAGCCTAACGCCCAAGGTGGAAAACCAAAGGAGGTTCCAGGATGTAACACTCCTCCAAAATTGTCAAAACCACCAGGAGTTTGAAAGGAATGGGATCCAAACATGAATCCAGGAATTCCAGAAGTTCCGTACGAGCCAAACAGGGAGCCAAATGATCCTGGTTTAAGAGGTTTGTTTGGTTTGTGGCTCCCTGAAGTTCCAGAAGCAATCAAACTAGATGATAAATCCCCAAGTTGAGGTGTTAGCCCTGGAGGTTTAGATGTTCCTCCAGGCTTGCCTGGGTTTGGTTTGGACGCAGTTGGTTTACCTTGATCTGTCGGAGGTTTAGGTTTGGGTTTTGCACTAGGTTTGGACCTTTCTGTGTAAGTATAAGCTGAAACCACTGTTGCGGTCTCATGTCCCACCCTTGTATATTTGGGAACTTCTGTTGTAGGGCTTGCATCACCCTTGATCTGATCTTTCTTGGATGATGTTTCTTGTCCCTCATGCAAGCCAGGTTGAAACTTGTCTGTGTGAGCTTCAGATGTGACCATTGGATTGTAATCCTTCACAGTTGTATGATCAGCTGCTTGATTGTCCCCTTGGATAGTGAATAGACCAATCGGAGACTGATTTAAATGTTCATCTTGAAGTTGATCAGGTGGACGAGCAAAACTTTGCTGAATGACCTAAGAAATATAATTAACTTGTTAATGGGTTTAACTCCTTGATTTAGGAAATAATTTATATTAAATGCTTCGTTAAGCTACAAATATAAAATTAGGTTAATGGTGATGTATAATAAATGATTCCATGTTTGATCAAGTTAAGTATTATTCATTTTTTTATATGGGCTTCAACTTAACTAAATGATTAGTTTGGCCAGCCATATAACGTATGACGTGGCACTTAGGCTATTTCCCATAGGAAACTGTACACATAACTGAAAAAACCATTTCCCAAATGATTTGAAGTACATAATTTTTGTGAAGTACCGTAGCTTTATGCTCCATAATCTGTCCCAAATACTACGTATCACTATGCATTTTCTATAGATCGTCCATTGATACTTCCACTAGGGTCGAATAGAGACTCATCTCCTAACTCCTCGACTGAGGAGATACTTTAATGACTTACAACACGCACTCATGACTTCACCATTGTGAGTGCTGGTATTTAACTAACTATGAAAAATCGCGTGGCGACCGAAAATCAATCGCTTTAAGCAAAACGGCCACCGTATCAGCGATAGTAGCTGAGCGATAATCGCTGTGCGACTATCGATACAGTCGCTCCAAGCAAAATAGGCCTTTACTAAAAACGTCTAAAATTAAAAAATACAGTAAACTAAATAAAGAAAACACTATACAGTACCACCAATATGAATGGAAACAGCATGGTAGACAACATCATGTTGAAGCTTGACTCATTTAGCTACATATATATTATTTGTGACGAATATTGAATGTCATAAGTCAATTTAAATATTTAAATATCGTGATGGTTTCTTGCTTAACTATAGTCTAGTTATGCACGCTTCAAGTTGACAGCTTCAACACCAAACATTAGCATAACTTACACGGTTCTGGCGTGTCATGCAATCACGACAAACAACTTGAGAGCAAACTTGAATTTAATTTATAGTTTTGTAATGGGTTTCCAAGTTTAATGCAAGTTATAACTAGTACAGAGTGTGCGAAATGAGTCCCCAGTAGGAATTAATATTAGGAAGTTTAAATTAAAGTCTTTGTCTTTTGATTATAAAGATTTGTATACTTTATATTTACAAATATTGTACACCAACTTATAATATTATATTAAAAAAAGGGTGGTTGATTAAGCTGTTGCGGCGCGTAGTGTACCCATGTTATGGAATGGTAAAAATAACGAACACAAACACAATTTATGATTACGCAATAAAAACTGATAAATATATTTAATAGTTTTGACTGTATAGTGGATTGAAAGTAAATGAAAGACTGGGAAGGTGGCGTCGTCCTGTAATTCACCTACTAGGAGGTCACGAATTGTGGATATTTATAAGCATGCACTGTGGATGCGATACTCCCTGGTGCTGGTGTGGATTAACGTCCGCACTAGTGAGTACTACGACTACCCGCAGTGCTATCCTGATAATTAGACCAATTCGTTAATTACAAGGAAAAAATGTGGTTCGCAATCTGTAGGCCCCTTAGTTGCCATTGGCTGTATGGGCTATTAATTAACAGCTGTGTCTAAGGAATAGGTCGGTTGTAGTCACTAACAAGACTTTCAAGATCGCGCCACTCATCCTACACTCATCCTTAACTCCTATTTGGACTAAAATACTCAACTAGTGGTGTCCCCATTTTAAATCATTGATATAATTGATAATTGATTTGAAACTATATGATGTAATACGTGATGTAATATACCTGCCTCTCATGTTTTTTGGGTGTTCAAAAAGGTCGGGACATAACTTACGTAGTGATTTCTTGGGTCAAAATAAGGAGAAAATCAAGAATAAAACTTTTTACGAAATCGCTTCGCTAACCAGATATCCGCCATTTTGTATTTTTTACATAAACAGTTTTATCTTTTGATTGTTTCAACCGACCTTTATGGCACTTGTATACATGTTAATGTAGTATAAGAGACTTATATTTAAAAAAAAATGACCTTGATCCAATTTAAAATTTGAAAATTGCGGCCGTTTTTATTCATACAGTTAAGTTATTGCAGTATTTTGGTTATGTAATTTTTCAGGCCTGTGTAACAAAACAAGATACTTGAGTAGATTGAGATAAAAAAGACCAATCAGCTAAGAAAGATATATGGCTAGATTTAATAAGATAATAAGACATAATAAGATATTTAATAAGACATAATAATATGTTTGGTCAATTAGCAGAGTAAGATCAGAAAACTAAAAAATACATACAAACAAGCTTCATCTATGATCACAATGAATACAATGTCATAGACTACGGGGACTGCAGTAGGCCTACCGTACTACATAGTCATATTTAAGGACTCATTGTGGCATATGTTGGCACATCTCTGTCTATTCAGACTACCATTCAAGCCACATTATAGTTATAATTGCAGAACATCTCGTTAAAACACATGCTATTGCTCAAGTATCAGAACACGCTGCGCGTCTTATTGTAACTGTACGTCATTATAAAACGCTGATGAAGACTTGTTCCGAGTGTCGAGCAAGTGTTCATTGTTGGGTATGCACATCTCACAGTGTATCATTGTTGGGTATGCGCGTCTCACAATGCATCATTGTTGGGTATGTACATCTCACAATGTATCATTGTTGGGTATGCACATCTCACGGTGTATCATTGTTGGGTATGCGCATCTCCCAGTGTACCATTGTTTGGTATGCGTGTCTTACAGTGTATCATTGTTGGGTATGCACGTCTCACAGTGTATCATTGTTCTTTAGCTTTAAAATGAATCCTCAACAGCCATGCTACCTTTTTCCTAGCTCGAGATATTTCGTGGGGACCGATTCGCTTACGAAATTAAATAAATTAACATTACAGTACCCCACAAATGCGAATTAGTTGAACAATTTTGTGAACGAAATAAACAGGAAAAGATAGTTGTATGGACAAAACTAATTTATGCTAATGATAATTAAATCATACATTTCCGTAATACCTAAATCAATATTTGATTGAAAATGAATTAATGCAATCCTATGTAATCCGATAGCTAGAGCCTAATATATGGATCGGCATTAATATGAGGAGACTTTGCGAAATAACATTTGGGATTATTTTGAATACAAACTTTGACTATTAAAGTAAACAAATAACTGTTTAGAATAAAATGTTCCCGAATATATTTTGTTATACGGGATAAGAAATATACAATTGTATACACAATATTTCACAGTCATTAATGCTTGATAGTGTGTTTATTTTTGTTTTGATATTTGAAAAGTATTGTTTTGGAATTTCTAACTTAGAAAACGGCACATTATGGGTAGAAAAATTTGTATCCAACTGATCAAAAAGAATAATTTATGAGTTGTTTTTATAGCTTAATTATTTATTTATTTATTACATGCACGGCAAATGCCATTTTACAAAAGTGTTGAGTTCACATTGAAATTGAATTGTATTAATGTTACCTCCGTTATTAATGGCCATGGGAGGAAGTAATAATGAATAAAAATATGTATTATGTGCTCAAACTACAAGGGATTTACCTTTAGTATTAGGGTGTGAAAGCGAGATACAATGTACCTATTAATTTTAAACCATAGCTTCTTCAGTTTTCCCTTAAATGCCTACCGTAAAATATAAAAAATCGTTTTTATTCTAACTACTAGGTGGGGATCACAATTTTATATACCAAGTTGTATGAATGACTGTTAAATAACTTATAAATATCAGGAAACCTTCAAACAACTGAAGGAGATAAACTGTTACTGTATTGATCTAATTATCTAAATCATCTTAATATTGATTGACAAAATACATTGATAACAGGTACCTTACAATACTTCCAAAAGTTGTTTATATAAACCATTAAATTCCATTGGAATACATTTATTTATTTAAAAAAATTACAATAGCTACAGGTATATAACCCAAAACAGCTATAATGACAAATAATACATATTAATACATACAAGTATTGACTATTGGATCATGAAGTTGTATTGATAATCAATGATACAAGTAAAAAAATGGAAAAATACAAAATTTGCACATAAAAAGAAAAATATACAAACAGTGACGTATAGTTAAAAAGAGTAAATACACGTGAATAAAAATGGACAAAGCTTTTGAAAATATGATTTAATTATTTAATCATTCTGAATTATTAACTGCATTTTTTCAACATTTGTAAACTTATAACAACTAAATGTTTAAAAATCTAAATTTCACGATTCCCTATACTAGCTGCTATTCAACAAAATTTTTTTGTGATTCACACAGATAGTACACAATGCTCCAGTATATTTGAACAATTGGTAAGCTACAGACGGGCGTAGCTTCGTTTGCACTCAACATAATGAGCAACAGCTGATTAGGCCTACATCAATGTCCATTGTTACATGTCGTGTTGTTTGAAGACAACAATGGTAAACCACTAACGAATGTTCGTAGCATATGCCAAATATTAGTTGAAATATCGGCACCTAAGAGAGGTAATTTCTTTTGTAAGTTTCAGTGCATTGAAGACCAACCTACACGTTGTCAATGGCATTCAAACTGTTTACAGTTCTACTGATTTTCCTATTGGTAAGCCTTACGATTTGTTATTACTTTCCATCAACACAAAGTAATTTTTTGGGTTAATGGGTACAATATAAAGTAGGCCTTCACTAAGGGGTCTTCTGGTTAGACAATTCATGATTTAGTCCTCCTAAGGTTATTGGAAATCTTACTTTAAACTCATACTTACGAGCTGCTGGGAGTTAACATATTAAGTAAAGTCGCTTTGGTAGTTTCATTGTTCTAACTCTTTGATTTTAGCGAATTTCCCCTATAGGGAGTAAGCTATTACTGCAGTACTCATGGTAAGACCTGGACCCGGGACCGATTTAAATTTTCGTTTTGAGGTCCCTAGAGGCCAAAAACACAATCCGTTCACGAGTATATGTGTCCGTTAGCGCGATAACGCCGATAACTCGAGCAAAAATGATCCGATTTTGAAGAAATTTGGTACAAACGTGTAAACCTACGTTTAATCAAACGAGTTCGTGAACCAGCACAATCGGACCATGGGAACGGGGGTTTATGGGGGGTTTTCCACATTTTGACCCTAAAAACAAAAAACTGCAATTTCTTTTTAAACCATTTTGTAGAGCTAAAAAAAGATAAAAAATGGATAGGCTATGCCTAATGGTTACGGAGAAAACTAAAAAGTAGTATAATTTAAAATTCCTATTTTATTCTTTGGAGAAAATGAAAACTGTTGTAGTTTACTTGTTTATGGATATATGTATATTGATAAATTTGGCAAATTTATTTATTTCGTCCTATAGGATTGTCGTGCGGTCAAAAACACTTTTAACCTTCCCCGTAGCAGCAAACCTAAGCACTCGTTAAATCCAATGTTATTTGAATTTGGAATAAATACATCTGGAAATATTTTAGTAAAAATGTAAGCAGACAAGTTGAAATTCGCTTAGTCTGCAGGTTTGCTGCGGCGGGGGTATTTTACATTTATGGTATGATAGCAAAAAAGGTATTAATTATATAAACCCTTACAGGTATCGGAGGCAATTTCTCTGCCGGAAAAAGCGAGGATCAGATCAATAAAAGTAAGAAAAGTCGAGCCTGAAGAACCTCCCCTTGAAATTCCACCTAATTACCCCAGAGAAATGGACGAGTTTGCGGAAGCCCAGGCTGACTACCCATCTGGTGGAATGAGACCGAGGAGTGGCAATTTATAACAATGCATTTGAAAACAATCAAACCGTTTGAATAGTTTGCTATCCAACATGAATTAGTGACATTATTGTTATTTATTTATTTCTAACTAAACAATCCGGCTTATTGAATGGTTACTGTAACTCCAAAGATTTTCCAAACCGGTTTGACTCGAATAATCATTAAAGTTATCATGGTTGTTTGATCTTGTATTTATTTTATAAAATGTTAACCTCATTCTTATTTCATGTTGGAGAAACATTCTTGTGATGTATAGAGCAACTTCCTAAAGTTTCATCACGGTCGGATGGCCGGGTTGGTCTACAAAACTACAAACGACATACATCGGATATTACATTATTCCAGCATTTCATATAGTCTATTGCATTTAAAATATATGCAAAAGTCTAATTCATTAACCACACGGCACCAATTAACAAATATTCATACCTATAAACATATACAATTAAATAGCAGAACGAATCATACCATTCATTTACATAACATGTTTTAAATTTTACTTTCATATGTTTTGTTAGTAAACATAGCTAACTAAAATTCTTTTTCAAAATCCCTGACCTGGGTACCTCTAAGACGATCCCATGGCTAAGCCCTGAAAGTGATCACGAAAATGATGGCATATATACCTACTCTATCAAATTATACACGCAGGTACATTTCGTGGTCATCGGTCCAGCTTGGTCTGAGTTTATCACTGCCAAATATACATACAAACAAATATACAAACCAAAATCCTCTTTTATACCTATAGATATTCTATTGTACAAATTTATCATGTGGAGCAACAGAACTAAGAATATTAAAAATAAAAACATGTTGGTTCATTAACAAAATTAAAAACAATACCATCAATTACATAATATATCTACAAAACAAAGAAGTATGAAATAAGAAGAACAAAACAAACTGAAATACAAGTGGCACTGGAGAGAAGAAGAAACATCATTATTCGGTCAGTTTTATTTAGTCAGTGGCAGTGATAAGACGGTGCTGGCCAGCATGTACAGTTAAAATCAGTTTTATAAATTTCTTATTCAAATCTAATTATTTAACATGGCAAGTTTTAACTATTCTGATTGTGACAGCGTTTTAAAGAATCTATTGACATACACAATGTGTACATTGATGATGTGTTTGTATAAATATGACCTGACGAAGTTCTAAGGAACGAAACTCGTCGTCATACCAACAAATGTGGTTAGATAAGGTAATTATTTCATTTAATCAATCAATATCTGCATGTATTTTCAAGGACACACTAACGATTACATAGAAATCTTACCTACTAATATTATAAATGTGAAAGTTTGTGTGTTTGTTTGTTTGTTTGAAGTTCAATCACGCATTAACTACTGGACGGATTGGGCTGAAATTTGGCATGATGATAGCTCACATTCCCGATTAACATATAGGCATATTCTTATCTCAAAAATCCTTTCGGGCTCCGCCCGAGTGGCTCTGTAGTTCCCCATGTTAACCTTATGAGTATTCATATTTAAAGGGAATAAAAAAATTTAGTCAGCTGTTTCAAATACTAGGTGGCGTTCGCCGAGGCATCCACAAAATTTAGCGGAGTCATCAAGGGTTCATATTATATTGTTTTTGTCATACTGCAGTAAAAACAGTCGTTTTTAAATAATTTTTAAGCTTTAACATTTTAATTTTAAATTTTTAAATTTTTTTTGCATTGCGGGTCTAAAGTATCATTTTTACTCTTTAGTGAGTAAAAATCGTTTTTAGCCTCTTTGGAGTAAAAATCAGCTGTTGTCAAATCAGTTGTAAATATCTATTGTAAGTGATTGCATGTATCGAAATATGTATCGATTCGTGCTTCGTAATCATTTTAACCTACAGTCTACAGTCTCTTCCCATAGCATTTTAGCATTGCAGATACATTAATCCATTCCCACACTCAACACTGCTCACCTTTACAACTTCCTTCACCACCCCCTACGTCGTGGACCTGTTTCCCTCTCTTCCCATAGCGTTTTAGGATTGCAGATACATTAATGTAATTACCAAAGACAGTTACCAAAGACACTCTGCACTGCAAGCCTTACTAAATTACCTTTTTGTTTTATGTTGCCTTGAAGTTCTTGATGTTATTAAATTCCTGATGTGCATTTCGCCACAACAACTTCAACGCAACATAAAAACAAAAATGTAATTTATTAAAAATGTTCTTGAAACTGGGTTATATAACAAATTAAGCCTTACTACCTCCTTCACCATTTCCTACGCCATAGACCTGTTTCCTTCCCTTCTCATAGAATTTAAGAATTATATACATGTATCTAGATGCCCAAACGGTTCCCCCACTCTGCACTGCCAGCCTTTACTACTTCCTTAACCACTTCCTACGTCGTGGGGCCTGTTTCCTTCCCTTCTCATAGCATTTTAGGATTGAAGATACATTAATATAACTGCCACAGACGGTTGTCACACTATACTCATACTTTACAACTTTCTAAGCCACATCCATTATTGGATTGCAAATACCTTAATCTACTGGCCATAAACGGATACCACACTCCTACAGCTCGCCTTTACTACTTCCTTCACCACTTCCTACGTCACGGACCTGTTTCCCTCCCTTTCATTGGCATTTTAGGATTGCAGATACCTTAATCTAATCGTCATAAACTGTTCCCACACTCCGAACTGTTGGAGTTACAACATCATCCAATTTACTTATTACCTGTTTTATAGAATCATATGTTATATATCTAGTTTTGTTATGATAAAAAAGTAAATAAAAGTTATTATTGTGTGAGTGTTATTAAAGAATAGTTGATTAAATTTTAACAGATTATGAGACTTAGTTAAGTGAGGAATATGGAAAGAAATATGAGTAATCACATTGAACTTTTGAACAGAAATAATTATGACACATGGAAAATGCAGATGGAAGCAATTTTAGTTAAAAATGATATACTTGGGTATGTGTTAGGAACCATTAAAAGGCCTCTAGAAGAAGGTGAAAGAATGACTGCTTGGCTAATCACTGATGCAAAGGCAAAGGCAGATATAATCCTCTCTATCAGCCCAAGCGAATTAAAGCAAGTGAAAGGATGTAACACTTCAGCAGAGATATGGGAAAAATTAAAAGGCATTTATGATTCCAGTGGACCAGCAAGGAAAGCCTTTTTGTTAAAGAAGCTAATTTTGGCAAAACTGACACCTGATTATGATGTCAGAGATTACATGAATATGTTTTTTGATGTAGTGGACAAATTAAAAGGAATGGAAATCGATATTAATGAGGATCTTTTGACAATTATTCTTTTGTATTCCCTGTCAGATGAATTTGAAAACTTTAGAATTGCTATTGAAACTAGAGATGCACTGCCTTCTCCTGAAACTTTGAAAATAAAAATTGTAGAAGAGTGGGAAGCGAGAAAAGAACATGGTAAGAAAGAGAGTAGTGAAGCTCTGCTAGGAAAATTTCAGAATAAAGTTAGATTTCAACCAGGAAGATTTTCAAAAGACTCTTATAGAAATAGAACGAAATCAGTTGATTTTCCGTTTCGATGCTTTATTTGTAAAGCGATCGGGCATAAAGCAAAATTTTGTCCCAAAGCAAATAAAGATCAACAAAACGTAGCGATTGCTAAACTAGAAGAAGTAGGACTTAATTCTTCTGTACAAGATGACAGTTATTTTGGAAACTTGTCAATGAAAGATATACAGTGGTGTTTGGACAGTGGATGCACTTCACATATGACTCATGTGAACAGTAAATTTACCAAGTACAAGCCTGCAAATGGAAGAAGTATATCTCTTGCCAACAATTCATCAACTGATGCAAGAGGGGTTGGAACAGTTAATATGAACATTTTAAATGGGAGTACAAATCTAAGCGTTAATTTGTATGACACTTTGTATGTACCAGAACTTCGAACAAACCTGATGTCTGTAGCTAAAATTACTGACCATGGGTATCAAGTTTTGTTTAAAAAAGATGCTGCTTTGATAATAGATCAGAATGGACAGACAAAGATCCATGCGAATAGGTTAAATGGACTTTATTACGTACAAGAGAGTAGTGAAGAAATGAATATAAGCTGTGAAAAATCAAGTCTATTGTCTTGGCACCAACATTTTGGACACTTGAACTTTGGAGACTTGAAAAGAATAATCAATTTAAATATGGTTAAAGGTATTAAAGTGAACACAAAAGAGCTTATTCCACAATGTGAGGTGTGTATTCAAGGAAAATTTACAAAAAGACCCTTTCCTAAAAGTGAAAGAACATCTGAAGTGTTGGACATTATTCACTCTGACATCTGTGGACCAATGAAAACTGAGTCACATGGAAAATCTCAATATTTCATTACTTTTATTGATGATAGCTCAAGATGGGTTGAAGTTTACTTTTTGAAGAAGAAAAGTGATGCATTAGATTCTTTCAAAAAGTACAAGAACAAAGTAGAAAATTTTACTGGAAGAAAAATTAAATATCTTCAAACAGACAATGGAGGAGAGTATGTTAACAGAGATTTCGATGGATTTTTGAATTGTAATGGTATTCAGAGAAGATTAACATGTAGCGGAACGCCTCAACAAAACGGAGTGGCTGAACGGATGAATCGTACATTAAACGACATGGCAAGATGTTTGCTCATTGAAGCAAATCTTCCTCAAACGTTTTGGGCAGAAGCAGTTGCAACAGCAGCTCATGTTAGGAATAGATGCCCATCAGATGCAATTGATGGTGTATTACCATATCATAGATGGTATAGGAAAATTCCAAATGTTTCATATCTAAAAAAGTTTGGTTGTAAAGGTTTTATCCTAGACAAGACAAATGACAAGTTTCAATCAAGAGCAAAAGAAGGGATATTTGTTGGTTACTCAGATGTATCAAAGGGCTGGAGGATGTGGTTACCCGAAGATAGGAAAATCATTACAACTCGAGATGTAGTTTTTGACACATCTTCCTTTCCACATGTCGATGCAAATCATACTAATTCGAGCTTTAGGGTATTGCCTGTAGACAGTTTACTCCAAAGACATGAAAAGGTCGAAGAAAATCAAAGAAGTGTTCAAGTTGATCAACCAAAAGGTACTGATGAGAAAAATGTACTTGATGATAGGCAAACATCAACAAATGAAACTAAAGAACATATGTCAAATGAAATGGAAGAGATTGAACATGACGAGCCATATATGATTGATGGGGAT